TCAACAACCCAGCCATTGCTTCACATGCAAGTTGGAACATTGGATCTTTTCTGAGACGGCGAAGTTTGCGAATGCATAAATGTAAACTTGATTGCAAGAGGTAGCTAGGACTAGAACTTTATTTTGTATGCAATCTTATATCCAATAACGATGGAGCCCCCTACTGGTGCGCGTACATCACCCCACTAGCGCTTCCCGGTTCCGCGCTCCAAAACTGCATTGGCTATCTCATGGCATGCATGAAGCACCTGAGACCGCAACACCGTTTTAGATCCACTCACAAGTATACACATGCCACGCCCATCGCTGTTATGTCTAGGTGCCCTAAGCCAAATGAATCAGGATCATCTCAGTTCCATCTTCCACCTGCTGCCCCCGTGTTCGGGGTAGATCCCATCCCACCACTGGGGTGAGCACTAGCACCGTGCGAGCTTGCCTTGTTCACCTTGAGGTTCCGGCCCATCCATTCCGCCCCGTCCAATGCATCAATGGCAGCAGCTTCTTCGGCGTCACTGCTCATTTCCACCAGAGCGAACCCCCTAGGTTGGCCCGACTCTCTGTCTGTTGGGAGTTGAACACTCTTGACACTCCCGTCTTCAGCCAATCTTTGTTTCAGGGACTCCTGATTGACCTGGGACGACAAGTTGCCCACATAGATAGTCATCCTTCTGAATGACTCTGAAAATTTCGAGAGGGTCGATCTGGGGGGATTGTGGGTTCAAGCAAGCTACGAACTGAGAAAAACGTGGCTCCTTTGGATGCTTTCAGATCCTGTTGATCCCGTTTTATGTTGATCAGTTTCCTCTCTTCTACCTGAGCTGCATCTGGCTCAGCTTCCTTCTTGCATCACAAGTCACAAAGTCAGCCCACTGAAGTCAGAAGCAAGCAATCAGAGTCTGTCAAATCTGTGCAGTGGCATGCACTGTGGGCCCAGGGTCCTAGCTAGACGAGCCTCATGAGAGCGTGCTATGCGCATGGTACCTCCTCCCGCGGTACTGACCCACATTGCCCCCGCCTACCGTTAATTAGAGGGCCGTTACATACGGTGTCACCAATTGCTGCAGGGGCGCTGCCAGCTGGCCCACACTGGCATATCATCAGTGTACTTCCAGACTCCAATACCTACTTTAGTCCACCGCCCGAGCGTCGAGGATCACTTCCAAGGCTCCTGTACTTCCACGTACGGGCCCCGTTCTACGTCAGATACCGGTAACACCGTACTACTGGGGCGAAATGTGGCCATACCGGTATTACCTACTCTCGTGTGTGTACGGTGTGACCTAGCGGGCTAGGATACGAGTTACCCGGGCACTTCAAAATAAAAAACCTAACCTAAATAATCACCCTCTCCGCACCCCAACCCACCCGGCCTTAAACCATCATAGTATCATACCAACCCGACCCGTCCCCCGGGTGCCTATCTTCAGTCACACGCCCCTAAAAGGTCACACAGAGTTTTCGGAGTACTGTGGCCGCGCAATTCTCGGTCACATTTATTGAGCGGCGTAATAGAATGTCCCACATGACGTCATCCAATGAGTCTGAGATCTCAACAAATCTCATTTAACTAACTAATCTCAATTAAGTTACTGGTACCGTATTCGCGACCGTTGTGCGCGCGCACCGGGTCTTGTTACCGTACCGACTGGCATACACTTTTCAATTCGATCTGTCGATCAGAGTCATGTTACATCTGAGAGACATGCCACCAGCTGTTTGCCGTCGGATCGAGCATAATGCATACCTAAATCTAGAATTACACACGGCCCCGGGGCACACGGCATGTTCTAGCAACTGGTACCGATTTCGGCAGAACGCGTCCGGCTGGGTACGCCGCGCCGGGGGTACGCCATCCCTCGCCCAGCTGTCAAGGTCAAATTCTGTCGGCTCAGCTCGGCCACGCTGGCCGGCCACTTTTTAAGGCCCCCAAGGGCCGCCTCTACCAGGCTTGGAGGATATCTGATCATAATCATGGAACAGAGCCGCGGGTACGGTACTCTGCGGGGACTCCGCGGAATGGCGGAGGCCGTAGAAAGCTGAGCTCAACCACGCTCAAACACTCAAACATCCTGACTTAGGTAGAGCGCACAGGTGCCAAAATGAAGGCGCCAGTTTCTAGAAGGCGGCTGTATTAATTTATTGAAATGAATTATATGATTTGGACCGGGCTAGCTTTCTAGCTGTATAGTGCGGGTCTCTCTGAAGCCAGCGCCGATGATCAGCTGGACCTACTAGTGTATGGCCGTGGATACTTTAAAACTGGTACAACTTCCTTGCATACTCCTTGAGTACTCGGACCCATCGTTCCGTCTATCCATGAGTCTGCTTTCCAAGCGGAGCCACTGTAGAGTTCAAGAATTGCTAGCCTGGCAGAGAACGGTTCGGAATTGCACGAGGCCTTCCCTCCGAGTCGTTTATCTGGGGAATATATATGCGCCCCAAAATGTAAGATCCGCTCGAGCTTCTAAATTGATGGAAGGTTCTCAGATGAGGCAACACGATGTTTGGCATTAGAGCTTGCTCAGAGTTGCGAGAGTGATCAGACATGGCTAGTTCCAAGGGCAGGAGCGATATTCGAGTCCAACAAGTGGCCGCCTTACCTGCAAGCTAGAGTTACAGGCACCAACGTACACTTGTATGTTTTAGAGATAAAATCAAACTCGTCCGGCCCCAAGCAACTTCACTTCCCACACACTCTTTATTGACCTTAATTTGCCATGCCATTGGCACACTTATCGCCCCCCAAATGAGGCAAGTTCTATTCTTCTATGATTGCTGGCCCCTGTGAAAGAGCCCATCAATACCTGCCCGTATATATATGAGACGCCTTATCCGACCGGCCGCATAGGCCTTTGTCTATGCGGCCGAGTTTAGAGGAGTCGAAAGTCACAATTTCCGGCCCCGACAAAGCTTTTAGCACTGGGTTTACGGGGAGACGTGTTTGCTTCGATGCTGCTCCCACTACTTTTGACGACAAGCGCCGTGCATGGCAGGTCGATCGGCGTCTTTTACTGACTCTCAATGGGTGGAACTTGGGAGGCTTGGTGCCTTTAAGACAGTCCTGATCCATTGCCGGGCGCGACGTGGATGATTGGAGTGAGCTTCGCTTGCCGCGTTTCTCGACAATCTGGCTGCGGGATCCAGACTTTTCCTGGAAAGAATGCTGGGGCTGACATGAGCAGGGACTTGTGTCACGAACCTGGCATCGTACGGCCCCCATAATATCTAAGCCGATCAACATTGCGCATGCTCAGGACTCTTTCAAAGAAAACCAAGCAGGTCAAAGTTACGCCGTTTGGCCAATCGAGACTGCTAGCTTCGACGGCCGGCAGGGATTTCAGATCCCAGTAGTCATCAGAGTCTAACCAGCTTCTCGTGCATCGAATTCGAGGGGCTCGATCATTTGAATTTAGACGATCGTTCTTGCTACAATACAAAGCCTTTTCTGAACAAGCACGGATAACCTCGACTGCCGCTCCGTCAGGCTGCATGGTCGAGATCATATCTAGTTGGCTCGGCAAGGTTACGAGGTGCGACTGTTGCCGACCGCCACGTCATATAACAGTACAGCTTGCCCCTGGACAGTACAGCTTCCCCCTGGTGTGAAGATGTGTACTTGCATCACATTCTGCATTTGGTCTGCTTAGAATTCTACGACTTGGCCTGCTTAATCGCAACCGCTTGGATTGCTGTGCCGTTTTTCATGCGTTCTTCCTGCTTTCATATGTCAAGTAGTCTCAAGAGGAGATCTCCGCGGGTCTGGCTACGTCCTTTAGCCGGCTGGGAGCGAACGGCTGGATGGCGTTTGCGCCAAATATCGCTTCGAATTGCGAATCAAAGTGACGCCGCCTGAAACTCGAAACAAGCTTTGTGCGAAGATGAAACTTGCAACTCGAATGGGGGAACTTCAGAATTTCAGTCGGGATTCGATGCTGTTAGACTTGAAACTGGCCGGGATTCAAAGAAACTCTAACGTTCTGGTCGTTGATAAGGTTCCCTTGCCAAAAGCTAGGGGACCAATCCCCTCAACAGACACGGCTATGACGAAGTAGCTGTTGCGATCGGACCGGCGGCTCACTAGCTCTCGCGCTCTTGCGCTAGCGCTTGCGCGCTTAAGGCTCGCGCGCTTGAGCGCTCGCGTGTTCACGCTATTGCGCTCGCGCGCTCATGCGCGAGCGCGCTTCTCGTATGGCTCCGCACCAACTTCATTCGGGGCGGCAGCGAAACTTTGCCGCGGAGTGGGCCCGCGGCTTGCCGCGCGCGCGGGCTGGTCCGAGGCCCTTGCGACGCGCCCGCACATTCGCGTGGTTGGATTGAACCTAGAGAAAATTAAACCTCGGGCTACTTGTAAGCGCGCGGAGCGCGAGTTTCACGTTGGCGGCTGCCAGAGAGCCGAGCCGGGCCGCGAGTCGTCGCCCTCTTCTATCTCGAAATTTGTCAACGAGCCAAGCTTCAAAAATTCGCGATCAACAAGAGTTGGTTTGTTACCATTGAGATTCGGAGGTTTCGTTGAAGCCAGATTAAGGGAGGCAGCTTTCACGGCTGAAGAACGCCGGCAGCCGAAGCAGTTAGTATCACTACTACCGTCCCAGTTTTGTCCTCAATTAAGGACATGATGGCATTACATGCCAACCATAGCAAACCATGGATTTTGACATCCGATTTTCGTTTCGAGCTTACTTTATCATTTCTCTACCGGGTGCTAGGCTTGTATATTATACCCGATTAGTTTAGATACCAAAACCCTCTCCATTTCGTGACGAACTGCAATTTCTGGAAATGCGTGGAGCAGCGAAATGTCCTCAATCGAGGACATTTTGTATATATCGGCTTCCATTAAATAGCTAATCAACTTAGATGGCCGTGCAAATTGGCGGGCATCCTAAACATGATTTATGAACACTATATATGAACGTAGCCACCACATTCGAGAAATCGTGTGTCTTACGTCACGCGTGCACGGGGCCACTGTTTGCCAGTTTTGCGCAGTTTTGCCAGTTGACCCAAATTCCATCGTTGACACATGCTCGACACATCCAAAGTACGGCCAATGAAGCACACCCTATTTAAGACACATAGTTGCGAGCACAATACTTCAATTTCGGCCGCAAACTCTCAGATGCGTTGCAATAAATACAACACAAGCTCGGCTTGGACCAATTACGCAGATCTCTTCTCTCCTGCCTATTTTGCTCTACCAACTCAATTAGCCCCTCAAGTTCTTTCTCGTTCCCGCAAACTCCGGGAGGGTGTGCCAATCCCGGTCACACGCGCCCGGACACAGGAACACCCCGCACGCCCCGCACTTCATGTTCACCTTCCTGCCCGCCTTCCCGTCCATAGCGTAGCAAACCCGGCACCGGTTGGAAGCCCCTTTCACCCGCTCCAGGGTGTGCCCGTCACGGTCATCCGACCCCGTTGTTGCGGTTCCGGCCCCCTCCGACCGGCCCCGCTTCCTCGCCCCCGGGAGGTTGTCGTACGTGTTCTCCACGAGTTGCTGCTGCAGCGCGAGGAGGAAGTCCCAGCGGCTCACCTCCGGATGCGCCTCATGGTACAGCACATACGCGTTGTGCATCGCCCCGTCCAGTAACCCGAACATCACCCGCACCCACCACTTCCGGGAGACGAGCTCCATCTCGCCACCGTACCCCACCATCAAGCACGATTTGTCGAACTGATCGACACCGTCCTTGAACTTGTTGTACTCGTACGCAATTTCCGGACAGGTCACTTCCTCCCTCGTGCCTGCAACCCTCCGCCCCGTCTCCCCGAGGCTCAACCCGTGACACGTGGACAGGAAGAAGACCGGCTTCTTGTCCTGCCACGCCACCGCCACCATCCCGTCCTCCTCACAGACTGCCGCCCTCATGGATCCCCGTTCTGCCTTGCTTCCCAGCTGCAGCAACTCTTTGGGAAACATTTTCCGGTTAGGGAGACACGTGCCAGTAGCAAGGAGGTTCGCCTCCTTCAAAGCGCGAACAGGCAGGGGGCCTGTGAACCCCCGATCTAGGATGATCACGTGCCCCCTGTGTTTGGGGACACGGTCCCCCAGCTTTCGCACGATCATGTCGTGCAACCCGTCCCCCTCGACCTTGACCTTGTCGTAAACCCATTGGAAGTAGCAATAGAATGTGACCGAATCAACGGCACAGAAAAGCTCCACCCCAAACTTGTGGGGCTTCTTCGGGTTGTAGACCCGGACTGGACAACCCCGATTCCTCAAAGGGATCATCCGCTCATCGAACGTGACAAACTGAGTTGGGTTGTAGAACCGGGGGAAGGTTTCTTCCATGTGGTTTAGCAACGGCATCAAGTGCCACAGCCTGTACTCCCGGGTTGCTCTGTCTGGGGGTCTCTGGGCATTGTCATTTGTATGCAGGTACCGCTTGATTTGCTCAAACCGCTTCAGGGACATGAACTCCCCAAACCCCGGTAAACGGACAGCCCCTTGAACTCCGATCCTCCAATAGTGGGCAAGAGCAGGCAACGGATGCAGGGCCATAGCAAACACTAACCCAAACCACCGCATCACTTCCTGGAGCGTCACGTTCACCCAAACCCTTCCCTTGTTCCCAGGCAGCCCCGCCTCCTCCCGACACGCGGCCGCATACAAATTGGTCTGGAACACCACATCCTTGAACCATTCCAAAGGCACAAGGTACAGGAAGACCTGCAGCGGCGTTAGTGAGGGCAAACCTGGAAGGTTTCTTACTCGCTGCGAGGGCCCCGTGAATGCTGGGGGCTGCACGTCTTCCAGCACATCCCCCTCCGCGACCGGCTCCCAATGCATGGGCCCCGAGGGCCCCGCCTCCAAACCCTTGTCCAACGGACCCTCGCCCTCTTTCTCAAGCTCCTCATCGCTCTCCCCCTCCTCTTCGCTGCCGCTGGACGCCCCTTCCAGCAGCTTCTTTGACACACGCTTCCTCCCTGCGGGCTTCACCGCCCGCTTCTGGAAAACCACGGTTCGCTTGCCCGGTGGACGCCCCCGATTCTGTCCTGTGGCAGGCCCTGCTGTGGCAGGCCCTGCAGCCTCCTCTTCACTGTCAGATTGGCTGTCAGGGTCGCCATCTGACTGGCTGCCCTGCCCGTCAGACTGGCTGCCCTCTTCCACCTCTTCTGACACAGCGTCTTCCTCCCCTGCTGAATCTTCTTCACCCCGGTATCCCCAAGGTTTGTTTGCAGAGCTTCTGCGGAGCTGCCTGGCTGGTGGGAGGCTGCCCGCAGCATCAAACCCCGTGACTTTTTCCTTCCCCTTCCTCGCAGGTGTGCGCAGATCTAATTCTGTGGCAGCCTCTGCATGCATGCTGCCCCCTTCAGACTGAGGCAGCTCGGGCGACACCCTATGCTCGGGAGACTTTACATATTGTGCCAGTTGCAGCTTACTAAACCAGTACATTGTCTCATCTCCTTCAAAAAGTAACCCCCATTCTCTGGGGTTTTCCCTTTTGCAGGCCTCTGCTTGGTTACAGTGCCTGCTAAAGTTACCCAGGGCCAGGCAGTCCCATACTCAGACTGAGCCCACTCCTCACCAAAATGGGCAGCCTTCACCAGAAATACATCACCTAAGCATGGACCAGATGTAGACGCCATAGTTCTCTACAACATTCTGCCCCTATGCGCCTTTTTGGACGTGAAGAACACAATTGAATGACGAAAGAAGAGCAGGTTTGTAGGATAAATGAGCACACCGGACACCTCAGCAACTAGAATAAGTTTTCTTTCGAATTTGACCGAAGTTAGATTTTTGCCGAGGTCCTGAGGTCCAACCCTTACCACTGAAGCCCTAAAACCGCCTGAAACCCGCGGCCGCGCCGGAGATAATGACGTGGCAAAGTTTGCATTTTTTATGTCCTCGATTGAGTACATTGTCCCTAATTGAGGACACCGGACGGTAGTAGTGTTAGAATTCTACGACTTGGCCTGCTTAATCGCAACCGCTTGGATTGCTGTGCCGTTTTTCATGCGTTCTTCCTGCTTTCATATGTCAAGTAGTCTCAAGAGGAGATCTCCGCGGGTCTGGCTACGTCCTTTAGCCGGCTGGGAGCGAACGGCTGGATGGCGTTTGCGCCAAATATCGCTTCGAATTGCGAATCAAAGTGACGCCGCCTGAAACTCGAAACAAGCTTTGTGCGAAGATGAAACTTGCAACTCGAATGGGGGAACTTCAGAATTTCAGTCGGGATTCGATGCTGTTAGACTTGAAACTGGCCGGGATTCAAAGAAACTCTAACGTTCTGGTCGTTGATAAGGTTCCCTTGCCAAAAGCTAGGGGACCAATCCCCTCAACAGACACGGCTATGACGAAGTAGCTGTTGCGATCGGACCGGCGGCTCACTAGCTCTCGCGCTCTTGCGCTAGCGCTTGCGCGCTTAAGGCTCGCGCGCTTGAGCGCTCGCGTGTTCACGCTATTGCGCTCGCGCGCTCATGCGCGAGCGCGCTTCTCGTATGGCTCCGCACCAACTTCATTCGGGGCGGCAGCGAAACTTTGCCGCGGAGTGGGCCCGCGGCTTGCCGCGCGCGCGGGCTGGTCCGAGGCCCTTGCGACGCGCCCGCACATTCGCGTGGTTGGATTGAACCTAGAGAAAATTAAACCTCGGGCTACTTGTAAGCGCGCGGAGCGCGAGTTTCACGTTGGCGGCTGCCAGAGAGCCGAGCCGGGCCGCGAGTCGTCGCCCTCTTCTATCTCGAAATTTGTCAACGAGCCAAGCTTCAAAAATTCGCGATCAACAAGAGTTGGTTTGTTACCATTGAGATTCGGAGGTTTCGTTGAAGCCAGATTAAGGGAGGCAGCTTTCACGGCTGAAGAACGCCGGCAGCCGAAGCAGCGGTGACTCAGTAATGTTGCCATGCCTGGTTTCGCATCCTCTCTTCGTTTGAATAGCTTTTGCATTACCTTGCCGCTGCGTCGAGATTTCTGGCCGTTCTTTCGATTCGGAAAATTTCCCGGCCTCCCGCTCCGAGCCTGAATCAGCGGTTTCCGCCAGAACGCTCCTACCGGGTACTTCTGACTGCCCTCTTTACACCACTGTGTGCTGATTCGTGAGCGACGGAGGGTGTCAGGAGATTCCCGTCTGTCTTTGCTAAAAGGAGGCAACCGTCTCGAGTATGCAGAGCTTCGTGACTTCAACGTCTCATCCTTCGCATCGAAGTCACGACGTCGCTCTGTTCTCTGAGATCAGCGAACGATTCGCACCCACACTGCTCAAGCGTTAATTGAATCACCCATGCCTTCCGAAATGAATGACGGCCCTCCGCAGACACGTACTTTGCAGATACGCTGTGAGATTCGCTGGCAGAAGACTCTCAGCTTTTCTTTGAACGGCAGACATGTCATAGCGGCCATGAAGATCGAAGAATGCGGCGCAGATTGTGGAGTCGTTCATAAACTCGCCTGAAGCGGTACTGAAATGAAGGTTGTCTGTGATTGATCATCATATCTTTCATGATCGCTCTATCTTTTAAGCGAAAGAGTGATCGAAGAAATAAGATACGGCGGGCAAGCAGGATGTCCTCTCCAGCCAATGTTCTATCACTGGTCAGTTCATATATTAAAATGAAAAAACGTAAGCCACGACTTCATCAAGTGCAAGCTTACAAAGGCCCATGTCGCTTGAACTACTCTTCGAGATACGGTACTGTTTCATTTCGCGCCAGAATGATCCTTCCAAATTCAGCTAGGTAGTCCGTCCGTTAAAAGCGTTGGACGCGCCTTCCTGTTCTTCAGCATTAGCAATGGAAGGGTTTCTTCGTACATTAATACCGTTCCTATTCAACGGTCCCTCAGGCCTCTTTCAGAAGAGAGATGTTATACTCATTGAAATTCTCGATTTTATGAAGGGTAAGCGCCATGAAGGGTAACGGCAACACCTAACTGAAATCATATACCAATTATATCTACACGCTCCGCACCCGTACCCACCCTAACCTCCAAGCTAACCCCACCCGTCCCAGTTACCCTCCATGGACCTTACCCTTCATGAATTTGAGCGAAATCTACTCATTTGATATGTGTGGGCTCGTGGCTCATCTAATCCCTCTCCCGAAGCAAAATGATGCCTCTGGCAGCTACCGATGACCATTCAAGGATTTCACAGTTTCGCCACTTAGCATTTTGTTAAGTTCTTTGTGCCCGCAGTTAATGCAGCTTGGCAAAGATACATGACGGATGGAAGATAGAGGGTCACGTCAGATCACGGCACGTGCCCTCGAATGTGTCCTCAGCACTCTTTCCGGCAATATTCAGCCAGGCCGTCTGGAGGAACCCGTTTGCGCCAAATTCGGACGTACCTCCTGTCAACGTGGTCGTCCAGAAGCCTTTTCGAGAGTTGTGTGCAAAGTTACTTTTACAACTCGCGCTGTAGTCAGGTTGCGTGTAGGAGACTGCCGGTTCTGCGATCCGAATGGTGAAACTTGACTTGTGGTCCCCTTGTAGCCCTTCAACTAGCCTGCTTCCCAATGTGACCCTGGCCTCTCTTGGTTGGGACAACCGAGCGCTCACTTCGGCAAAAGACCTGGTCTCCTTACAGCGCCTGATAGAATCTTGCACTACGAGAGACCGTTTTCTCAAGAAGCGCTGCCCGAACCTGCTCTTTACAATCGTGTCGAACAAAGCGATATAGGCACATCCAAATTGTACTTTTGAACGAGTTGACGTAAGTCCAGCTGGGGCTGCCATCGCGCGCGGCCCGCGCTGGCCGCCGATTGCACGCGCGCGCCTAACTTCGCCCATCAATCTAGACTTACCTGCATTTGATGGCCGGAACCTGGCTGATAATGTATACCAGCTTTTCGTTGCAAACCTTAAAAGATACGTAGGATCTCCCAGTCTCTGTTCATTGGCCGAACAAAAGGCCCTGCCCTTCTTCGCCGGTGGACCGTCATTCTTAGGCACTTTGAATAGCAGCACAGGAAAGCGTGGCAATCCCGCTACTGCATTCGTCTTGGTCGCCCCGGCCCTTGAAGCCGGCGGCGGCTGGTCCTTGCGGCCGCCGCAAGCTGCGGCTCCCCCGGTTGCGCGTAATCTGCGCGCGCGACTCCGCGCCGTGCGGCAGCCGGCCGCCGCGCGTGCTGGCGGCAACTCATCCATGGCTGGAGCTACTATAGTTGCGCTTGGTGCAAAGGATCGCCGGCGATCAGACTCGCTTTACGCCCTGACTGCACTCGGCATGGGCCGCTGGACGAGCCTTGCGCGGCGAACCTGGCGGCCGCGACGTCGATGCAGCTTGTCGATACAGCTGTGGCGCCACCGCGCAGTACTTCCACTCGTCAGGTTAACAGCTTTCTGGATAAACATTTTGGGTTTGACTTCTGACTGGGCGAAGAACTTTCAGCTTTGTGTCGCTGGCTGCCAGCCGTTCGGCCAGGTTGAATGTGAACGGTTCGACTTCTTTCGTCACCAAGTGCTTTCGCGGAATATTTTACGTTGATCAGCTACATTTGCTTCAGTTGTTTCATTAGTCAGTGATCCTGCTACAATATGACTTTTAGCGACACCTGGAAAGGCCATGACGAAAAGCTGATGCATGGCAAAAGGCCAGCGCGTTTGGGGACGTCACGGATGCCGTTTGAAAAACTGCGAATGAATGTTTGACATGAGACCTGCTTCCGGACACTGGTAGCTCCTTGATGGTCCACCCATAATCTTTTGAAGTTCTTTTGCCACTTAAACATGTTGAGTGAAAGAATCGGGGGAATGTACGACCGGTACAGCCTGCCTGCGTGAAGAATCAAAACTCCTCTTCTTCTCAGTTGAGCACTTCAGGATTGAACCCACTATATTGACAAACCGCACTTCCATGTCCTTGACACGTAGTAAACATTCATCCATTTTTTTCGCCATGAATTGCGGCTTCGCATTGGACCCACGACGGCCGAGCAACCAGGCTAGGACGGGCTTGAAGTATGTCTCCGTGGCCGGGAGAGAAAGCGCCTGGCGTCACGTGCACACTATTGAAATGGTAGTAAGGCGGAGCACATACTGACAGTCAACATTTAGATCAACGTCTGTTGCAATCCTGTCGGTTGAGTGAGCGCAGCGCGCGGAGCGAAAGGAACGGCCATTGCCTCGACCGCCTGCGTCCGCCTGGGCTTCAGGTGGGGCCTTCGCCATGGTGGTCGAGCGTCCGTTCTTACCATGACGGAGAATGCTTCGGCGGGGTCGATCACAGTTGATTTCGAGACCCTAACTCCTGAAACCAATATAATCACTTCCACTTCGACCTTCAGCTTGGAACGGATCAGAATCAACGGGAGAGCTGCGCAAAAATTCTACCCCACAAACTGGTCAATCCCCGGGCTTTAGATTATCAATCCACATCCGTGTTTAAGAAACTTACGGTCTGCCTAATTTGCGCGCTGCACAGATCTTTAATCTGAGCACGGGGCTCACTTGGGCGATTATAAGCCCCGGGCGTCACCTTCGTGCGTCTCGTGGACGCGCGCTCGCCCCGCCCGTCTGGCTGGCACGTGAATCAGGTCACCTAGCAGCTCTATCTGGTCGCGAGTTGGCCAATTGAGCGTCGTTCAGTCGTTCCAGCTGCACACCGGTAATTGCAATTAAAGAACTAAGGGACATCCTCCGGCAATGCCGGCAAATGGTTCAATGTCCAGTGGCCAGTTTCTGGCCGGTGTTGTTTCATCTGGGTAGCCACATTCAACGTTCGAAGGCGAGAGTGGGGCCGAAATTCTTGCCGAAGGGCCGCCCTGCGGTCTGGTATTTCACAAAAACAACACGCGACGTAACGTTTTCCTACTAAGAGCGCATACTGAGAACGCTAACCGGGAGCTCCAAAAAGGGGCCAGTTTGAGTTGCTTCCCACAGCGATCAGTAAGCTTATGCGGTGCACGAAATACGCCAGTTGAGCAGCAAGCGAGCTGCTCGGAACCGTTCGTCACTGCTTAGTGCGTATACGGAAAGTTGATGAGCGACAGTGTCCATTCCTTTTGAACGACGACGTTCAAGACATACTTCAAGTTTGTCCTGACCGTCAGCTTGAGACGTGCGCGCAGCTGCGGCCGCCTAGCTAGCTCAGACGAATGTTTGGCCCTTAACGATATGGTTATGGGCTGCTTATGGGCTGGTAGAGAATGGTTATATGTCCTATGGACAGACTTGGGCGGTAACCAGCCCCGGAACCGGGCTGAAGCCGGGTTATTTGTCCATGGACCACAGACTCAGGCTGGTAACCCGCCTGGTTAGAAGCTAGAGCCTTCTGTGGGCCTGCGCTGTCCACTTGCACACGCGCGACGTATAAAGCGGGCTCGTCGAGCCTTCGCCCAACAGCGACACTCTCGCTGCACCCGCCTGATTTGGCCTTCGCCGGCCTTCTATGACGTGCCCGAAGGTGGCTGCTGGGCCGTCTCAGAGGTTAAGCATTCGCTCGTGCGGCCGCGGGTTGTCTCACACGACTCTGCGCCGTGCGCTAGCAGATGTGGAATCCAAGTCAGCTTCGTTTTTGTCGTCACGAGCTCGCTGCAATACAGTGGACTCAACCCGAGCAGGCTGCGGCTCATTCTGTTTGAAATCAACGGCCCTGAGTGTGCACATTTTAGCTCTGAACTCGCTCATGCGTCGCACATATATCCTGTTCGCGATCGCGGCAATATGGCAGCCCGCCGGCCGGAGCAGGCCACAGAACGTTTCTACTTTGATCAATCTATATCATGATATTATGACGGGGCTGTGAGCATAGATTTATCGAATTTGATCGAGCAGTGGATGCTAAGACAGGCCGCGTTTCTCTGTCAAGTTCACAAGTTCAAACACACTTGTTATATAAGTTTTTTTCTCATGATTGCTTTTCCGACATAATCATAGTACTGAACAACTGTTTTTCAGACTCTTTTGATTGATAAGGGCGCATTTGCGGCGTCAAGCCAAATCGCCCGCGTGCTCAGTGAGTCAACACACGTAATATCTACCACTTATTTACTATTCATAAGGAGATGCCCCCGTTGCAGGCTTTCTGAAGCGCCGCCCGCTGATTGTGCACTACCGTGACACATTGACCCGCACCCACAGAGATGTCCAGCTAAGAGTACGGCTCGAGCGCGCTCCTAGCTTCATGCGGCACTCGCCGCCTGACGGCAAACAGTACAGCTAGCTAGCACAATGTCACCAAGACCGATTGGTACGTGCATGCAATACATCCGGTGGTTGTTAGCCCTTACTAATGAACCTCATCCGACGCGGTCAACCGGCTCGCGCGAGAGCCAGAGAGCGGTCGGTCGGTGATATTGCAAGATTCCCGGGACACCGTAGAAACGTTGCAAGTTGCCGTCGGCCGCCCGCCGGCCGCTGGTTGCCCACCAAAATCGGAGCCGCCGGGGCCGGCGACAAAACGGGCCGGAGGGTCGAGGACCGAGGTTCCTTCGGCCAGCATGCCGTGTGCTGGACACTTCAACCGGAGTTCCCGGCCGAGCGGACTATAAAGTGACAAAGTCGACAAGATTGAAAATGCACCCAAGCCGAGATGCATGATCAGCCTTGCCTCTCGAGTCAAGGCACGAGCCTGAGGACCTTTTCCGCATCCTTAGCCCCTAGCAACTTCATATTCATATCATACATGGAGCATGTTGGAAGCTAGCAGCTAGCATTCGAAACAATGAGGGACTGGATAACTGAGACCATCCAAGTAATAATAGAGCTTTCTAGAGCAAAAAAGGCCATGTAAATCCCTCATTTACTATCTCCTATACATGCAATAACGGAGATTGTCTGGACAAGGTGCTGTATCATCTCAGGTTTTTATTGGTCTCTTTCTCTTGCTGCTCAGTCCTTGGGGTTGATCTCGTGACTACTGCCTATTGAGCTATGTTTGTATGCGGTCAATGTAACGACTGCAATCGGCCCTTTGGAGACCAAGTACCGGGCCTGGGGATGAATGAATCCACATGCAAAGGAACTCACCTCGACTCGCAGGACAATCAGAGAAGATAATCTCAAATGATAAAAACCACCAGACTAATGACGACTTCATTGAAAAGAATCGAGTCTAATCATGCTTTCCCTGCAGTTTTCATAGCCTCATAGTTGATCCAAACGATATTGGCACCTTTCGATTTCATACCAGTGTACAAGGGAAGGCAGAGAAATTGTTGTCACTCTTGTCGGCAGTGTAGGCTTGGGCGGGATTGAGAAGCAGGGCACGTTGAAGTAAAGCAATTACTTAGGACCCTCCGATTGCCAAACAACAAAAATACCCCAGGCCCGGTCCTCTTTGTCGCGGTCTTCTCTTCTTTCACTCTTCTATCTCGTGTCTTATGCTTTGTTGAACAAACGCCTAGTCTCTTTGGTGTTCTGTTACTGTTTTGCGGACGAACTTCAATGACTCGTGCCAGGAAGCGCGTTCTGTTGATTGAGTCGGCCGACCGCAGAGAGCTTGTTATAGCGGTCGGTTTCGGCGCGAGTAACGAAGGTTGAGATCGCGCGACATTCTAACGCGCGGGTGTCGGGTCAAACATTTTTCGCGCGATAAGTTGTTTGAAGCTCGCGCAGATTCTGCCGGCGAGTTGGGCGTCGTCGCGCGACAGCGCGTCGTGCTAGTGAACGCGGCCGCCAGGCGGCTAGCTGCCGACGACGGCAAGGGTTATCGACAGGGAAAGGGTTCCGGCGTTATCTGATACCACATGCCGGCCATCCACCGCCAATCCAATCTTGCCAGCGACCGTTGTGCGCGCGTGCCGTAAACTGTGAATGCTTGACGTATGTGACTTATGTTACGTTAGTACCACCCAGAACTCTGCCCGCGTTTAGTCGATTCCGTACGGTACGGAACGATTCCGTACGGTACGGAAATCGTTCCGTACCGTACGGAATCGACTAAACGCGGGCCCGGGGGGTCGGCACGCCCTTAATATCCCGCGGAACTTGTCAGGGTTTCTAGCAGTTTGGGGCAACTATACTATTCCAAAAAACCGTAACCGTCTACATACTACATACTACATACTACATACCACATACTATACTAATCCAAGCCTACCAGCTAGAGTCCGCGGATCGATGAAATGAGCCAAGCTCAAGCATTGAATCCATGTAGCTAGAGAGACTGGAAAATTCGCAGCGCGTCAGGTAAGTTATAGTACTATGCTGTACATGTGTGAACTGGGCTGACTGGGCTGACATAACCAGGGTCTCTCTGATCCCTATACAGCTTGGCATGATCACGAGCTGGATGTATACGTCAGCTGACCGGATCCCTGAGAACGGATCTGAGCTGCCTAGAATGGCTGGCGGGCCGATTGACTCAGATATGGTACAACAGGCTGGAACAATTCAGGGGCAATTCAGGATCAGCGTTCACGTGCTTTAGAAGGGCCCACTGTGAATTCGGGTCGAATGTTCCAGCCTGTCAGACAGCCCAAAACAATTGTACCCGTCTTTCTTTGTATAGACATTAGAGCGGCGTATAATATAGCTATAGGCCCACCCGTGCACGTGACAAGCTGGAGAACCAATCTCACTTGGCTTAATTCATGGAAGATATCAAAGATTGCAATTGCTCAGCCTGGCTTTCCATAGGAGCCTGCTCTGTTCTACAAACACAGACGTGGCATTCCAGGCTTGGAGCAAGTGGCCGCTTTTCTGCAAGCTACTCGTGAGCACTGAAAAACTCTTCATTTTTCTAATTCATACGAGCCTTGCCAAGAGCCGACACATCTGACTCTGGGTTCCTAATTCCTTATCTTCCCAGTGCCACTGCCACACAACGGCCCACAAGAAGCAGAATGCTTCAGTCACTGTGTGTGTGAATGAGGAACGCGATCCAGCCTGCATAGAGGGTTCTGAGAGAGTTTGAACCCTGCAGAAACTGGCTTCAGGGAGAGTTGAAAATCTGGAAGCAATGGGTTCATGGGCAACCTTTGTCGTGTTGCTGATCGTTGTTGCGACAAGCGCAGTGGATGGCAGGTAAGCGTCTAGAATGCGCGCTTCTGACGTCTGTGAAGTTGGAAACAACTCACTTTACTGCCCATTGCGACATAGTAGATCAAGGCTGTCGGAGTATGCTTTTGTTCCTGGACTGTGGACCATACTGTAGAACTTTCAAATGCTGGTTGATCCAGTGCCGCAAAGTTCCTTTCATATATGATCGAATTCCCGTGACGGCGCAACTGGTCGAGGGAGCGGATTCGAGGGCCACACAATCAGATCTGTCCTTCTGATAAGACGACTTACAAGATTGGTGTTTAAACTTTGGCACTTCTGCTCGTTCTTCTTTAATAGAGGTCAATGTCGATGAACGTCCACTTCACGGACATGCTACTTGCGCTGAGAAGTCGCTTCTCGTCATTGTCACGGACCAAGCATGGTACTTGCAGACGTCAATTCCTTGGCGCATTTAGGCCAAGAAAAGGCTTTGAAAAACGAGTAGAGGGGATAGCAAATGGGGTGGCAGAGGAGCACTACCTGCCCACGTCACACCAAATTGGTTCTTGTCGAGAGCCCATGACGGTTTGAGGGCCAAGGCTTTCCTAACGAAGAAGCATGGTTGAGCTGGGAAAGTAGTGGGTGTAAGCACAGACGTTTGTGTCATTTTTCCTCTACTGCAGCTTCCTTGCTCCAATGGGGCACGCTTATCCTACCTTCTTGAGCACTGTCCCATACATGAGAGTGTATCCTCTCCGGCCAAACTAAATGTCGAGCTTTTACTTAAACGGACACATGCCAATCCGAATGAAGACGGATTGGCAGGGGCTATTGGAGACCGCTACAAGCTCCAATCTTTTCACCGCTCACGTCTAAGTCAACCGATTATCCAATTTTCTCACTCGCTGACGACGAACAATAAGAACACAGAGTCTCAATGCACTGTGACTCTTGGGCTCCCCGCTCACGCTCGGTTCCGAAGTATCGCGCCTCACAAGAACTGGTTCTAGCCATCTCCTCAGGAGCTACTATCATTTATTTAAGCAGATTTAGTCGCTCAGCCCTGACTCGCTGAAGTTGCTGACAGCAGGGATCTGCCGGCGCGGCGTCGCTTAACCCAGACCGGTGCCACAGCCGTCTTCATCGATGAGATCCACTGGGACAACTTGGCGCTCGATTTTGGTGAGCAGTGAATATTACACTGGCATTGCTAGAAACGGGCGGATGCCTTGTGATTTGCCTCCCCCTTCTTCGCAATCTTGTGAAGCCCACCGAACCTTGCAAGATCAATCTCATCGACACCCACTCTGTGTAAGCAGTAGAGCAGGAATCTTCTATACCTGGCGGTGCAGATTTGAGAACAAGCACAGATCTCAGCAGCTTTCGCAAAACGTACCGAATGGTACTTCTCCGCCTGCTGTCATTGTCTCCAAAATGAGCTCCGAGTTTCTAGAACCCCCTCTATCAGTCTTGGCAGGCCTGTGCTCCGAGTAAAAGCGCTTTTCTCAAATTTAACTTTGAAGCAATTTCAAAAGACTTTTGACCATTTCAAGATGAGCTTTTACAAGCCCCCCAATGTGCTTCTTCTTCTCAGATGAAGCCATCGTGACTGTTAGGCCTGTGACTATTTCAAGATCAATATTTACAAGCCACCCAATCCGCTTCTTCTCAGGCGAAGCCATTGAGATTTTTGGGCCCCTGGGGCTGAACGTCAGCGGCTATGTGGTCACCCGCTACAGTGCTCTGGGCCAGGCATGCGTCACCGTTGATTGCGCTGCGAAAGGAGGTCAATTCACACTCCCTACAGGCACCACCCTCCTCGATCCCGCAAATACTGGGGTGAGCTCAAAGCCACCCGCCCTTTACAGTGTCCCGCTTTGAACCCGGATCGAATGCGCACTTCTCCCAACAAGTGATAAATCTGCCAGCATTCACGCGTCTTGAGAGGTTAGCTTCAGGCGTCGTCTAAAGAGCATCGTAACTCTGGGTCGTCAAAGCTTAAGGAGACTTGGTCTTTGATATGTAGGGCGCCCGTCAAAATCTGGTTCCAGCCTCGGTCAGAAAATCGTCACATGTTCGGAAAATTTGGAAATAGAGACGGGTCTGCCGAAGCCTCTTTGAGACTGAAGGAGCAGCTCCTGTATCGTCGAGTTGATGCTTTCGTTTGACAGCTCAGCTCTTGAAAAGCTCGGTGACCAGTGTGGGTTAGTCTTCAAATGTTTGGAGTTGAACTAAGGGTACTCCTTATGGGCTCTCGGCCGAGGTCGTCCTCAATTGTAAAAAAAAGCTTCCGGGTCTACCCAACATAGCGCGCGTTTGTGCGTGATACGTT